TAACCTCTCATGATTTTCCTAAATCAGCAGGAACTGAATAAAATAACGTTCCTGAAACAGCAGAAAATAAATTCTAGGGGTGAGTGTTGCATGGGTGTTGCAATACGATACACGATGCGATATTATCACTACCGTAAATTCCGGACTATGAGCCGCTACTTTTTTCCCGCCGTTTGAACACTGCGGATGAGACTGAATTCAGCGACGGCATCCTGAAGCCGTTCCATTCAGACACCGAGGAAGACGACTTTGAGGGTTTTAGTGCGCAGGAGGAAGAAGGAAGTGATTCATGACTTTTCCTGGTCGGCTGCAATGTTCTGTGCATTGTTCAATTAAAAGTACCGTTATTTAATTAAAAATATGTACCATATTTTTTTGTTTTATCATACGGATTAAATCAAACGTTAAAAAAATGCTCAAGTGTAGGCCTGTCACAAAATTTTGCTGAACAATTAATGGTCTCAAAACTTATTGCGATAAACGATAATATTGTTTGAAGACCTTTTTACTCGGATTTAATGGAAATGACGTAATAATGCATGTGGTTTCCTGCCAAAGATAAACACAATTTATTTTCATCAGAACACTTAAAACTGCAACTGGTTAACAAAATAAAACAAGAAATAAAAATCAAATGGACTCTCAGTCTCTGATAACTAAAAATACACTTGAAAAAAACTAAATACAAATAAAACCACAGTGGAAATAAAAACTACATTCAACCAAAAGAGTACAGATAATGAAGCCTGTAGAGGAATCGCCGTTGGTGATATGTATGTTTTAAAGGAGTTCATCCTGTCTATCAAATGTCTGCAACATTTTTCTAAATGCCGTCTTTTCAACTATATTAAATGGAAGCATCTCTTCAGCAATTGTGAGCGAGCGCCACTTTGCGCCGTCCTTTTTATATGCTGCCTGTAGATTAATTGCTTCAGTGATGGTGGACTGTCACGAACTTGAAGATGCAGACGGCCACTGCTTGTACTTTTTGTTCCCAGCTGGAGAAACTTTGCTGGGCGGTTGTGCTTTAGCTGCATGTGTAGGTTGGTTTTATTGCTGCTTTTAGTTGCTACTGTTATGACAAATGCGACATACTGGCTCGCATAGGTTCAGCGGTTCGCCTCGGTCGTTTGGTTTGAATCTGAAATACTTCCACACTGCGGCTGTTACGCTTTGAAACCAGTTCCATTTGGAGCTTTTTCCTCCAACA